AAAAAAAAAACCTCCCCCCCCCCCCCCCCCCCGGCTCCAAACACAGAAATACAAGTTAATTTTTTAAAACATTTTAATGTTTTGAAATATCAAGGAGATTAGCTAGATATATTAGCCATCTTAATTTTTAAAAATTGACGAATTTATTTCGTTGCATTTCCAGTCCCTGTCTCAGTAGCATTTTGCTCTCATCGATCATTCTGTATAATTAAAAGTAATTTTACAATCGGTTTTGTGTTTACTAATTAAAATTCGTGTATGTGTAGAAACAAGTAGAATGAATAGCGTCTACATACATGAAGGATGAAACATGTGTTTGTAATATTTAAGACAGTCTAAGTCCTAAGTGTAAATTGTTGTGAACGATTGCTTATTATGTGTCAAGGATAGAAAAAACTATTCACTACGCGTATAGATTATAGCGTAAATAAATAAGAGTAATTTGTATCATGAAAGATTTTATCCTGTATGTGTCCTGTATGTGTCTGTCTAAGATCGATCGCGTATTATGTTAAATCGACCACGCTGTGTGCAGGAATAAATGTGTGTTGGCTCAGTCGTGTGTGTGTGTGTGATTGTATGATTGTGTGATTGTGTGATTGTATGATTGTGTGATTGTATGATTGTGTGATTGTATGATTGTGTGATTGTATGATTGTATGATTGATTCCTGTATCTGCGTAAGATCAAAACATGTGCATGAACGACTGCTGTCATTGGATGGGTCCAACGTCTGCTATTCGAGTTCCTAACACGGGTGAAAACAGCGGGCGTGACCTTGGTTCCCAGCACCCGGGATGTAAACAACTATTCCCAACCCCCCTCCCCCCAATAATCTCGTACATGGCTTGTTCCTACTCCCTGGGGTCCCTTCCACCAACCCAATACTAAGCCCCCCGGGTCTAACCATTACGGGTAATGTAGTTTAATAAAATGTTCACGTTTGAGAGCAAGCTAATCCCCCTTTAACCCCTACCCTCCCACAGGATACGCCACCGGATCAACGTAACTGATAGTTAGAACGGAATCTAAAGAAAAAAAAAAAAAAAGAAAACTAAACTCTAATAACTAATAATTAAAAAAAAAAGATAACATTTACAAAAAGTTTGGATTTTTTCAAAATCGTTCAAGAAGCCGTGCTGCATTAAATAAAACAAAGTCTTAACAAAGTATATAACAGATAACATGCAAAGTTTCACGATAGATCAAAGAATGTATATTTAAGTTTATATATATATATATATACATATATA